TGTAATTATGCTTTTCCATTTTGGTACATATCATGGAACATAGGTCTGAGTTTATAAATAGTTTACTAAGGAAATAATTTAATTTTACAATTTTTCTTTCATTAGGTGTTAAATTATTTTTGTAAAGAAACAAAAATAGGTATATGCAGCTTTGCTGTAGAAAATAACTGCTCTCTTAAGAAAGTGTAAAATGTGTAGTATTAATTAAAATTATTTTTTCGCTCCATGTTATTGAAATCTTTAAAAAGTAGTAAGTAGTACCACGTAGTATTACTAAGTAGTAAGCATTAAAAGAAAAAGATATTATGCATAAATCATAATTCATCATGATATGTAAGGATCTTCTAGAATATGAGGTGAAAATAAAATTCCTATTAAATGAAAAATATTTATTTCAATATTTTTTTTTGTCTCTTAACTGCTACACAGAAGCACAATAAGGTTTCTAGTTGGAAGATTAAGGCATAGGCTCTGTTTCTGCTAACCACTGACTGCAACTGCAGGGACGTGGTTGTATGCAGCAGATTACAGTATTGGTGCCATGTTTGCAGTAACATTGATAGTGCTCTGCAACTTGACTTTGTACATGGGTGATTCATTATTTGTTTAATAGCAATGCTGAATATATGCACTTGTTTAAGTCTGTAAAATGTTGGAAACTGTTAGACTGGGGGATGTAATAATGAAATTAAATCTTGTATCTCGCAGGTTGTCATTTTGTAGCCTTTCTAGTTCTGCAGCCCTTTAGATTCAAAGAAATATCTCTCAAAAGTAAAAATATTACCCGGAGTGATTTATTTATAATTATATAGAAATACTTTAAAAAAATAGCCTTTATTATTTTACCACATTTTGCAAAGTTTGCAATGTAGCCTTAACTTTCTTAGCTACTTGAGGCCAAATTTGCATGTGTGTTTTGTTTTTTGTTTGAATTCTGCTTTATGTAAAACTGAAAGTACCTATTTGTGAAATGTGTAAAACAGCAAATATAATTTATTAGTTAAAATCATTTTCATTTAATTGCTGTAAAATGACATAATTATATACAACTGTATTACTTTTTCTTGACAAATGGTTAATTGCTTGGCTGATTAAGACCTCTGGTACATAGAAAGCATGGTGTTTCATAAACTTCAGCAAACTTCTGTCTTCTAAAATCTTAAGGTTTTCGTATTTCATATTCTTTTTTCTACCTCATTCATAGTTAAATGTTTCCTCATAATCTAATGTTTCATTTTTGATGAGCCATTAAATATTGTGCAAAACCTTAAAAAATATTATCCTGTCGCATCCTAGCATAGCAGAGGAAAAGAACTATAACACAGGAAAAGTGTTAAGCTTAAGAATATTTTGTTAGTTTCTTCATTTTGGTGGGGAGACGAATGTTGATACTCTTTGTAGGTAAATACATCTGTGTTAAACATTTAAAATAGGTAGTACTCATGGGAAAACTGATTGTACAAATTGACAGCCTCTTTTCACTTCATTTTTCATCCTAAAGAAGTCTGTAAATATTCTTAGCTCACATCATTATTGCTCATCAGTGGTTCTAATTAGCTAAACAGGAGTTTGTCTCAGTCATTGATCATCATCAGCTTCTTGACAGTGCTTGATTTCCTCCCCTCCATATTTCAGTGGACTTTAAAAAATATATTGTAAATACATAATGGCTCAAATAATAAATTCTGTATATTTCTCTTGTGTTTGTTGTCCTTCCTAAATAAGATGGAGTGAGTGCTGCAATTCTTATCAAGTCACATTTCAAGGTGCTACAGCAGACCCAAATATGATCTGTAAGTTCCAGTAAGTGCAAATTTCTTGAGTGTCTATGGGGAGCTGTTCTGTAATGAGCATTGGAAGCTATCCTATGCTACAAGGAGAAGCTGCTGCTGAAGTGTACTTAAATTCTGGTAATTAGGACGTTTTCTTTAGCTATGCGCAATAACTGGTGAAACTATTTTTGAGGACACTACAACACCCCATGTGTGCTAACTGGAGAGTCTGAAAGAAAACACTAGAAAGCCAGAAAAACTTAAATTTACTTGAAAAGTTTCCCACTCATTATAGTGATTATAGGTCTGTATTTATAGACTTTGTTCCTTGACACTTTTTTTTGAAGGACTGTTTGATCGAGCATTGGATAAATGGTGAAAATACTGTATTAAATTAGAAATGCACTTTTAGCCATTGGCTAGTGTGTGTCTTTGTTACAGGCATGGTTATTTGCTTTAACAAAGGTCTATTTTTTTTTTCTCCCCAGACTTAATTCTTCAAACCTCTTCCATGCAGCCCTAAAGTCACAGGGCTCCATAAATTAACTACCAGTAATCCACCAGAATTAGCTGTGCATACCATTTTTCAGTTGCACAGAGCAGTTTGTTATTTTGCTTGTGTCTTGGCTGGTTAATTCACTTTCTCACCATTATCTTTTTAAAATAATTTTAAAATCCCAAACCAACCAACCAAACAACTCCCCCAACTGTTGAGTTCTTTTGAGCCTGACCTGTCAGGTTTTCAGATCAATTAATCCATTAGAAAACAAGTTTAATAAATTTTCAAATGGTGATTGCATAGTTGAGTTAAGAGGCTAGTTAATTATCCAGTATTTGTGTTTAATTGGCCTTGTTTTTAGAAAGATTGACTTTATGATAGGAGATAGTGATTAGAGAAGTTTGGACCAATAGTTCAATTTAAGTAGAAATATAAAATAGAACCAGCTGACTTAAAATGGAGAAGGAAACACATCACTGTGGGAATGAAGGAATGGACAGAATGTGTCAGCTGTTAAAATTGGGATAGTTTTGAGCACTGGAGGCAATGCTATTCAGTGGTTCATGAGGCTGATGTTTGATTCTTTCTATATCTATGCATTACTATTCTAAGTACTTTGTAGTAAAGACTTGCTTTGTTTTTTGTCTTCTGAAGCTCTTATAATTTTGTATTGTGCAGTTATACGTCTAATCTTAAATTCTTAAGCTGTCTAGCTGTATTTAAGACTGAGGAAACTTGGCATGCTATAATACTTGCAGTTTAGACATAGATAAAATAATAAAGGTCCATCACTTCCTCAGAAAGATTATGGTGTAATGTGCTTATGGAGAATGAAACCTTCCCAGAATATTTGGGGTTTGTGTATTGCAACTATTTTCTTTGAAAAAGGGTAATTGTTGGTAGCCGTTAAGGACCCTACAGCAAAGTAATTAAGTATGAAGCAGCATTGGTGTTTTTATGCTGGAGCAGTTTTTGGTTCATTTAAGATGGGGAGTAATTTAGAGTACTCGTCACAAACATTACTCCTGTTTCAGGAATGTACACAAACTCCTGTGATAAATGTTATACAAATAATCTAATTCACAGACTTTTTTTCCTTACAGGCTCCTGATTTTTGAAGTTGTCTGATTTCTTTCAGTACAAAGGTTTATAAGTTTCTTAGAAAGTCTTTTACAGTTTTTAAAAACTTGACTTGGGAATGTGATTTCTGTAAACTAGTTACACATTATAAGCAGGGTGGGTCAGCTGGGTTTTTTTTTAAGGGGCATATACAAGTGCTTAAGATCTCATACACTTTTATTTCTCCTAGCTAAATGTAATGTAAACACATATCTTTTCAGCTAGTTTTTTCTTAGTCTTCTTCTAGGGCTACAACATGTCAATACTGCTGTACTTGCAGGATAGCAGTCTCTAACAGTTTTGATGCTGTGAGAACTCAGTTTCCAAAAACCTTGTTTTAAATTCTGTACCATTTTTATTTAATTATTTGTTTACTCAAGATCAAACTAGTTATTTTAGCAGTCATAGAACTGTATTTAAAAAACAAGCCCAAACTATTATTTGTTGACCTGTGAGGACAGCATAGTTTAGCCTTTAAAATCACTATTAACAGCAGAATATAGTGATATGTAATAGTGGAGCAAAATAATTACCCGTGTGTCTACTATCCTTATTGGTCTCTGTTACACAATGCTTCAGCAGATCAAGCCTTTTGTGCACAGATGGATATTCTTATCTACTTTTCATCAGATTTTATAGAGTCATGGGTACCACCTTTTCATTTCCTTCCACCTATGTAAAACTCCCACTTAGGCAGAGTTGCACAGGGAGGATTCTTTGGCTTCTAGGGGTGGCTTATATCCAAACATGATGGAGGTTTAACTGGCTTGTGAGAGCAGGGATAGTCAGAATGAGTTTTTGCTTCTGTGTTACCTGTGGTGCTGAGGAAGCCTGAAGTGTGTGTCCATTTTTAAGGAATGTATTTCTCAGACCTTTTGTTGCAGATATATGGTGAGAAGTCTGTTTTGTGCTAAGGAATTTCTGTCTATCTTTACTTCACATCATTTGTTTTCTTTCTCCTTATAGAAGAAGCCAGTCAGAACATCAGCATTTAACACTCAACAAGATGAGCCTGTTTTTAAAATAAAGCATTAAAATCAGCTGTTTTTCTACAAAATGTTGCAGAGATGACTATAGAGACTATAGTTTTCACTGTTACCCAAGCTCCCGAGCTGTCTTTTTTATTTTGTTCTTCAGTAAAAGTTATAGGTTCTGTCCATGTGAAAGATAGTAAGAGTTATCTGTGATTTCCAGAAATATTGTTTCAAACATAGAAATGCCATGTAGCTGAGAGATGAACTTCGCAAAGCCAGGCAGCTTAGTTGGCTCTACATTGTCAAGAAGGGTAAAAAGCATTTTGCGCAGTCTCTGGAGAAGTACTCAATCTGTATTTGGGAAAGAATGAGACAGATAAATTTCAGCTTCTTAAAAATGTGTTTTAAGACCTCTTGCTTCTGTCACTTTTTGAACAAAGTTGTGTTAGCTGTTTACAGATGTAATTTGCTGTCACTTGCCATATGCTCCCTGATTAATTCTGCAAGGCCTGTCAGCTTCAGATAATTTAATTTTCTGTGCTTTAAAATGACATTCATTATCAGGACATGAAAAATTCAAATGATTAACTGCAAATTATGACTAATAAATTGTCTATTTTTTTTGTTTGTTTCCAGAGAAAAGCAGAAAGCTGAATTCAAGGACAGAAGGATTTTAGATATTTTGCAAATCAAAGACAGCAAAATAGAATCCCTAGAACAGGTTTGTATTATGGTTAAATACAAAACTTATAGCACATACAAAGTTACAATACAAATACACAAATACAAACTTACAGCATCGACATAAAATTTATATTTCCTAAGATGTGAAAATAGTTATGTCTTAAAGTGAAAGGTGCAGGCGATTCAGAAATCATAACCTTCTGCTAAAGTATTAATTAAAATCTTCTGAGTTGTTCAAACAGTTGACCTTTCACCTAAAACATACCTATGACTTTAGGTGAAAGTTCTCCTGAAACAGCAACTCATTGTCCTGTTCTCCCTGATGGACTAACCTAAACTTGGATTTTAATCTAAAAGAGTTGGACTTTGTTTAGGTTTGTAATGTGCCCATAGCTTGGAAAGTTTTGTCCTGACAAATTCAAAAATAAACCATTTCTAGAGTAGTGAAGGCTAAACAAGTCGTGTCCTAAAAGCAATACAACTATGTATTATAATAATATTAACCTAGTATAAACTATAAAACAATACTGACAAATCTAAAATGTCATCTGTTGAGCTGTTCATTCAAAACTGAATGCTGTGTAAACAAAATGTAAATAAAACACATGTATTGAGCCAAAACATTGATGGAATTGAGGAAATATGACCACATTTCTAGAAATCAAAATAATTATTTGAAAACTAATCAAAGATTTTGAACCCTTTTGTAGTATTTGAAATGTGATACTTTTGAAATCCAACACTAACAAACACCACACGAGAGAACAATAAAAATTGCGCCTTCCTTTTCTCCAGAAATCTGACGTGACTATTTTCTCAAAACTGTGAGAACAGAATGTGTTTTTTTGTATTATTAAGAATGCGAATAAGAAAAAAGTCATAATCAGACCAGGTGTGATGCAGACGGAGAGAAAAAGAATTGGAATTACTTCACAAATAATAAAGCTGGTAGAAAAAAACAGAGAAAAGATTGAAGGTGTACTTTCAGATGTCTGAATCCTGCAATTCCTGGGGATGGAAGTCTGGCCGATATATAGAATCACAGAATGATTGATATCATCTGATCCTCTACCCCTGCTCAAGCAGAGTTACCTAGAATCAGTTACCAGAACCATGTCCTGACAGCTTCTGACTGTCTCTGAGGATGAACACTACACAGCCACCCTGGGCAACGTGTACCGATGCTTCGTCACCCTCACAGTGAAAAAGTGTTTACTGATATTCATAGAGAACCACTCATGTTTCAGTCCATTGTGTCTGGTCTTTTTGCTGGTCACAGCTGAAAAGAGCCTGATTCTGTCTCTTT